CCCCCCCAACCCCCCTCCCGCTTATTTTTTAAAATTTAGGCTGTTGCTACAGCATGCCAAAGACAAACCAAGAAAACAACCAAGCATTAGCAACCAAAGCATTTGTCCCTCCAACCCGTAGCAGAAGTTAATGGAAGATCACCATGGAAAACAAAATGTCACCAGGGAAGGGAAAGGTAAAAGGAAATGGAAAGGAAAATGTAAAGGAAAGGGAAGAGGAAGGGGAAAGGGAAAGGGAAAAGGGAAAGGAAAGGGAAAAGGGAATGGAAAAGGAAAGGGAAAGGGAAAGGGAATGGAAAAGGAATCAGAAGACGCAAAAAAAAAGTCCCATTAAAAAACAAAAAAATATCCCGCTAAAAACCTGCAGCCCTTTATTATGCATCTCAGCTGGCATGCGTGTCTTGTGAAGACTCTTGTGGCTTTTCCACAGGGCTTTGTCCGGAGTTTGCGGTTCGCCTAAGGATCCTGTACAACGAAACCAGCCTGGTGTCCTGTCCCATTGGTGGCTTGACACTCAAGGTTTTCCGCGCCACAGGGCAAGCCTAGCGTCCTGGGTCTCGACGTGACACATGTGGTCTCGAAAGGCGGGCACGTCTGGGTCTATTGGGTAAACGACCCACTCGACATTCCATGCCAGGTTCGTTTGGGGCACCCCAGCTTTCAAGACGGGTACACGCGACTTGACAAGATGCCAGGTCGAACAAACTTGCAAAGAGGTTTGGGCTTTGTTGGCAGTGTAAGTGAAAAAAACAATGAACAAACAACTGGTAGTTCTGTGTGGCTTCGCACTGCGGCACCTCAAGATCATGTGGTGCAAATGTCCTAAACAGAATCCATCACAAAACCAATGGTTTCTTGGTCTGCATTGCATTCAGGGCATACCATGTCTTGGATGTTTTGGGCCCACTTGCTCACAAGAGATTCAATCGACCCAAAAAAACCGATCAGACTGTGATTACCTCCAGGCGCGATGATGGTTTATATAAGTTGAAAACGAAGCGTTTGCCAGTTGTAACCCCGATTGCACCAAGGCTTTTTGGGTACCTTGCGCCTTCGCTGCCTGGGCACAGTGGTCATCGACAGTGGCGAGTGCATGCGGAACTGCATTGACGGTGGGCCAGTTGTGATGTTTGATGTTTTGTTTCATTCAGCGGGTGGTGATCCTCGACCCAAATAACTAGCGTAAAATCACGTCGGTAGCGGCAAAAGAAGTGGTTCCATCCAACGTCCCAGATGCACGTGGTTCCATGATTCGAGCCGAGGAGGATATCTACCGACTTTTTTGTTGTGTTGGATTTCTCCCGTTCCGGTGCGGTGAAGCACAGAGATCATCAGAAATTCCCTCAATTTGCTGCTCTCGTATTGCCAATCGCCAGGAGTCTTCAGGGTTCGCGATGGCATCCTGATGAACTACCAGGCAGAACAAGGATAGATAAAGACAACTTTGCACCAGGGCGCCGGTTGGGTTGTTCAGGAATATTATTCGTACAGCTGTCATCACTGTCGTCACAGGCGAAATGAAAAGATCAGCTGTTTGATTTGATTGGAACATAGCTGTTGATTGGGCTGACTGGCCGGATCTGATAGCGCTAATCGTTTACATACTTGAATACCAATCAAAAGATTTGAACTTTGAATGTTTAGCGGTCAGCTTTCTCAGGATAGGTGATAGGTGTGATACCTCAGTATCCCAACAATATGCACAGTATGTAGTATGTTGGCAGCATTTCTCGCACAGCCATTCTTCCAAAGTTTGCGAAGATCTTTGTGACCCACAAGTATGATGGATGACAGTAAATGACCTTCACAGAGCACATGTAGCGATGAATCATGATGAATCACAATGAATCTAAGGCGGCCAAACCTCTTTTTTGTACCCACGCCAACGAACCAGCCCCAAACAAAACAACGGGAAGCCCCTTCTCCCCCCCTTCTCCCCCTCCGGGACCTCACGGTGGACGTCGGGTCAACCAGGCCATGGAGCACAACCAGCTCAGCAACGAGATGACGCTCCGAGGGAGGTGGACCATGGTGAACCTATACATTGACCCCTGAAATCCACCAGTCCATGGGTCAATGTCAATGATGAGTGGACCTGGATGAGGTGGACTGGACGAGGTGGACTGGGATGAAAAGGCGTTTGGGACAGACGTTTGGGGGGGAACTCGGATGGACTCGGGGATGTTGACCTCGCCTTCAGAGGTTTTGTTTGTGTTTTTGTTGGGGTAAATGTTTGCCTCCATGGCGCTGATGATGTTTTGTGGAGGATCCAAGAATGAATGATGTTCAATGATGTGGGTCAATTCTAGCACTTCATAGCAGATACAGCGTTTCCCAAACATGTCTTTGGCGGCCATTTTGCATCTTTTTGCCATGGTTCGAGGTGTTTCAACTCGTCAATGGGGTCATCCTGAGGATTTGCCCGCGTGGCTACGTTGGCTCCATTCGGCTGAGCTGCTTCGATGGCAACGTCGGGCTGCATTCGGGAAAGCCGCTTGGAATGGATGACAGGCGCTTGGTAGAGGAGGCTTGAGTAGGCAGGCCACAGGTGAAAGATGGCTCAACATGGCTCAACGACTTCTTAGGGCATAACGGGGGTCTTGGATTTTGTTGGTTTGAGGTGTATGAGGTGGTCAATCATAGCAATCTGGCAGAAATTTGTTGTCAAAAGTGTTTAGGAGATGTATGGTCCGAGTTGGTCGTTTGGGCAGAAATCCCGATGCATCCATGCGTTCGTTGCATTTGGCTTTCAGAAGTCCATGGGGGGTCCAGCCACATTGAACGAGCTGTTGGGAGCGTCCCCTGTGGAGTGATCGCTGCAAAAACCTGAGGTGAGAGGAAAAAACGTGAGCGATATCAGTTGTTAAACACGAGCTAAGGACTGTTGACTTGGGTCAGTGGACATTTGCTTGGACAATATGTTTGAGTGCGTCAACTAAAACATGCTAAACAACACTTACCCTTCAGTTTTTTTGGCGATACCCGGTCCGTGGAGGACCATGCACACGATTGGACCACTCGAATCACTTGAGGTGCTTTGAGCACTGTGGCAGCGGACAGGTCCAAGGTGCCAGTTACAATGATCTGAATCACGACACTCGGAACGCGTTTCGAGGATGGTTGAGGACGGTAGCTTTCGGAGTTCATGGATGTTCGATTGTCGACAGACGTGCCTTTTAAAGGCTGCGTTTCATCCTCACGAATGTGGTCGAAAGTAATAGACCCAGAGCACCAATCACAACATCTGTGATGCTGCAGCATACTGCTCCATAAAGCTGCTCGGAATAGCCCCCACCAAGAACCACTGCCACTTCTCCGACATTCACACCGTTGTAGTTTGCAGGCTTCTTCCCGAGGTGGTGGTGAGAGGAGCAATCGATGCACAGGATGAATGCATCCAGAACCTACAGGTGGAGGGTCGTAGTCATAGTCTGAGTCTGAGGCTCAAATGATCTCAAATCTATCAAATCAATAATTGTGTCTTCGAATGGCTTTCGTTCTTTCTTTCTCAGGTCAGGTCAGACAAATGAAAACATGTTATTGCAAGTATTGGCTCAAACGGAGCTCAGGACCTCAGGGCGGTTGAATTCTCCACCCAGCCGACCCAGCCCAGCCTTTTGCAGAAACTCAGGAGGATTACGACTCAATTATTTGCCCAGAGGTCGGCCAGATTCGCATTCGACCCTTGGAAACAACCAGTTGGTGGGCACAGGAAATGTGGGAAGCACAGTGAGTTGTGAGAAATCAAATTGGGCCGGGCCCTAAAATCAGAGATTCTTTGGGAAATGACGAAGGTCTCTTTGAAGCAGAGATTTTGAAAGGCCAGCTCGTAGTGAGGCTTGAAGCAAAAAACAGAGCAGATTTCTGGTGCCTGGTGGTATGCTGTGGCTCGCTCCAACCACGTTTTAACTGAAACCACCAGCATGATGTTCATTTCCTTGATTTGGTTCAAAAGAGTACCACTTCGCAAAGCCACACGCACAGGATCTCTATGCAAATTTGTCTTCCAAAGAATCAACCAACCCGGGTGGTCAATCTCAGAGCGAGACCCAGTCAGTATGAACATCACCCTCCGTGGATATTCTGTATATTTCATTATACTTCTGTATGATTTCTGACACACAATCTGAGAGTTGAGCGTGATGGAGCGTGGATGATTTTGCAAAGCATGGGTGCATGAAACATGTAGTCGACACAGCTCGAGGATTCGACTGGAACCCGGATGTGTCGATTCTTTCTGTTTTTTGTTGGACATTTTTTGGACGGGGATAAGGTTGTTTTGGAGAGTTGCTTTCAGCGAGTTTGAGGATAGAATCAAAAGGTGCAGGAGTGAGGCCGAATTGGAAGGGGGATCATGCGGGTGGTATTGCTGCTGTTTCTTTTTGCCAGATCCACATAGTTCTTGAATCCTTGTAATTATTCATGTTTCATAGTTGTGGCCTCGTTGCTGCTCTTAGAATGCAGTCTTTTGCTGACTTTCGCATCCCTGGAATCGCTGGAAGCTTTTGGGCTTCGGCCCATTCAAGTGAGCCACGCCCACGCCAGGTTTGTTTGATCTCGACATGTACTCTTGGATGTAAAATCTTTCCCAACATGTTCGCCGGTTGACCCACTATCTCTGGTCTCTGGCAAAGCCGAATGACCTGCCCCCCAAAAGCAGGAAGTCCTCTCCGAGTCCTCTCTCCCCAAGCTAGCTCTTTGACCTCCCTGAGGTTGCTTTGATGGCGAGACCCAAGTCTTAGATGGAGAGTGTTTGTATGGCTGCGCGGGGGGGCACCTCGATCGATCCCAACGGAGTCCCCGTGCAGCACCCCGCCTTCCCGCACGACACCCGCGCCAATGGCACTTGCAGCCGCTTCGTTGGGTGGTGTGGAACGGGCTGAAAGGGCAACCCGAAGTGTATGATCGAATCCCATGATGGTGAGGGGGATGACTTTTCCAGATAGCAGACTCGTGGGCCGTTTGGATGACCGTAATTAGTCGCTTCCTGTTCGTTTTGTTTGTGAGATTTGTGAGGGAACTGACTCAAGATCATTTGCTAAAGACATTTCTTTGGTGGGCAAACGTTTGATTTTGACCAACCCAACCTTCATATGTGTGATGCATGTAAGCCGCCAAACCGAGCCAAACGGTTTTGAGAATATCTTCTATGAGGGGCCTCACGTCCTATTTAGTTGTTGCTCGCCATAGAGCAAGCAGATGGAAAGAAGCTGTTGCCTTGCTGACGAACGAACATGTTGCATTCCTTTTTCCGGGGTTGGATGGACCAATGAACATGAACATGATCATAATGAGGTGTTCGATGACTTGAAACGTTTAAACAACCCGTTTGGCCCCTTTGGGGTCCCCAACTAGGAAGAGGGCAGCAACCCCCCCTTTCGGCTAGAAGTGAGGGGATTTGGATGGTGGGAGGGCGGACAGCGCCTCAGAGAGTGAATCGAAGTTGCACTTGAAGTAATCAAAAAATCGACCAGATCATACGGCATTTCAGGTATCATATAGATAAGAATCTTTGAAGATCATGGGACATTGGGACCTTCTCAAGATTCTCAGAATCCACCCGGACGAAAGAGGCAACCATTCGAGCAAACTTGGTCGATCAATGCGGCATGCACTGACCAGGTCAATCTGGCGTTGGCCAAGTGGAGCTTTATTGCAACAATATGAAAGTCTCGCTGGTCTCTACTAGCCGGAGCTGCGACAGACATTGTGAGCCGCAGATCACTGTGTGTTTTGGTGGGCAAGATGAACAAGATGAGCTTATCTAGGAAGATCAAATTGAGAGCTTTTGCATCTCCAAATTGCTCTTGGTTCTTTAAAGCAAACCTGATTGCATAGTTTTGTAAGCCAAACAGTTTTTTCCGTGCTGCTCAGCCCGGATCGATGGCATGGCTTCCATCTGGCACCCTCCCATGGGAGGTCCGTCCCAAGGTCGAGGGATGGTTCCAACATTTCTGCGCCCTACATCGAGCATTTGCAGACGGCCTCACAGCAGTGCCCGAACAGCATCCCCGGGCTCTTGGCTTTGCGTTGCCAGGAGACTCACCGTTTCGGAAGAAGTGGAAGGAGCGTGTGAACAGAACTGGGTGGGGGTTGCAAAAAGACTGAGATGGTTGGGTAAACAGAAATCGTTTGAAGTGCGGTCGGAATGGTAATTGTCAGTGGACCTGAATCTAGGGCCACCATGCTGGGGAGAAGGCGTTTCACCCTAAACGAATGGAAATGACTCGAATCTCATCATGAGTGAGTTGAACCTTGAGAGATTCCCGATATTTATTGGGACACTTGCAGATGACAATCTGTGTGCATCAAATAGTTTGAAGGGAACTTGCCCGCATCACAACGAGCAATTAGAAGGGATATAATTACATGGCATTGATTTCTGCCTATTTGTGCTGCCAGATCGTTTTGGCATGTTTTCACTCCTGTTGCAGGACAATGTCACGACCATTTTCGACGGCATTTGCGGGGACATGAACTGCCTCTCAGCAGATTTGGGACTGAAATCAGTCTCAAGAGAGCTCAACAAAACAGTTCTGAGCAGTAGTGTCCCATGGCTCCACCCTTCCGCCTCAATCACCTTTCTCCACCATCCTCCAGTGATTTTTGTCATTCGTTGGCCATCTCACAGGTCTCGAAGACATCAACCTCCACCTACTTTTTTCAGCCCTTATGAAAACTCCCAGTTCTTGGCTCTCAGGCCGGGCCGGTACCGTCTTTTCCAACGGCGCAGAGATCCTGCACCCAGCCATCAACGACAAGCGCCGTGCGGGACCTGGCACCTGTGGCGCCGACTATCTCGGGGAGCCGGTCTTTGAGTGCACCTCGCCGGTCTTGAAAAAGAATGAAGAAGACTTTAATGACCCTAATAACAATGGCCTCCAACCTAATAGCAATGGCCTCCAACCTACTAGCGGCCTCCAACCTACTAGCAATGGCCTCCAAGCTAATAGCGGCCTCCAACCTAATTGCGGCCTCCTCCAACCTGATAGAAGTGAAGAGACCCCCATCTCATAAAAGTGGATGAATTGCACATGCTTGTACCAGTGCTTGTACCCTCCGACGAACACATCACATGGAAGTGGATGGCCGTGTGGATGGCATGGTCCATTGGGAAGAGAACGTTCCTTTCTGAACAGGGAGTGAAGCCACTTCTGGTTTCAACCAACGTGATGATGTGTTCCTCGGAATCTTTTTTTGACTGAGACTTGGTGCGACTCGGTGAACTAAAGAGTGCAGGTAAATTTTGGGTCGAATGATCATCTTCATTAGAGAGGCGCAGGATTCATTTAGGGTGTCCATGTCACCTGTCTTTAAGGGAGTGACTCCCTACTGAGGAAGCATTTAGGTATCAACCGACCGTGGAATCTGTGGGAGGCGAGACTCCCCTCATTTCCTCAGAAGGCCGCCGATGACCGGTCCATAGTCCTCTTCCCTCTATGGGATGTGAGATGATGTGAGGGTGAAACTGAAGAGGACCTCCAATCAGACTGGTGAAATAGGCATGTTTCAGTGCATGTGTCCATTCATGGCCTGGGCCTGCGGGGCTTCCTGTTGCTTTGACACAAACCAAGTGGAAGATGCGAACCCGACCCCAAAACGACTCCGATTCACTGTGCAAAGTGCAAAGCACAGGGTATGGTCCACATGCCAGCAATTGGATGCTGGTGCGCCATTTTGTGTGCTCATAGATGCTCATATCATATCCATTTATGCAATGGTGGTCTGGTTTCTTCGGCATTGCTACCGGCTGCCATGACTGAGGGGTTTTTCGCGGGTAGTATTTGTGGGCGTGTTTTCGTGCCCGGGGGGTCCCCTGAAATCCGCCCGGGTGCAATAGTTCAGAAATGATCGGAGCGCGGATAAAGAGGCTGCGCCGGCAACTCAGGCAATGATGGCAACGCATCTCGACACAGATTCAATGGTCAGTTGGTACATTGGGGACATGGCACCTTACATCAATGATAGTTCGGGCTGCGTACTTGCTTTTTTCGTGGCAATTGCACCTAAGGGGCAGTAGTGCAGCCACATCCAATGGATTCTGACCAACAGCTGAGCAGGTTTGCAGTGTCCCACATCGCCAAGACTCTTCAGGACCATGTGGCTTACACAGGTTTCATCCAGCGAGTTTTTGGTCACTAAAGGCACCTATCCCAAGTTGCAGTTTACTATCCCTGTTTTTTTCTGTGGTCCTTCATTAGTCCAAAGGCTCTTTTGTCATGTCTTCCCACCAGAAAACTCAAACTCTCCCTTGTTTCTTCCCTCAGTTTGGAACAGCACTTCAAGCTGGCCCCCTTGTTTCAGGATGTGTAAACAGAGGGGTTGCCATCTCGGCGAGACTGGGAAGCTGTCGGTGATAGTGGTGATTTACCAAAAACAGCCATGAGCCTCATGAGCCAAAGAACGAAAGACACTGGATCAAGCAGCTAGAGCAAGTTAGAACAGACACTGAATAGATTGGACAGATTGAAGGCTAGAAAGAGAAATCCCAAGAGTAGAAATGATATGAAAAGACCCTTGAAGCAAAGAAAAAGGCCTCACTTGGTGTCCACGGTCCCCTACGGTCCCCTTTTTCCTCCTTCGACTCTCAGACCACGGTCCTCACGGTGAACCTCATCCGCCAGCCACGGATCCCTGGTGTGGACAATGTACCGCGGCGAGCTTAAAGCGGTGGGGTACCGGGGGCGGGGAGCAGCTTGGAGCGACTGCCGGTCGCTGGTCGGTGTCGTTTTTGGTTGCTTTAGATAGGGAGGTGAGTAGATTGAGCAGACCCATCATCTACAGACAAGGCCCAAGCACGGTGACCCGTTGCTTGTTTCTTAGAAATTATGTAGAGCTTGTTTCCAAGAAGACGAGCTGCTTTGTGCCGTTGACTGACAGGGTCCATGATTGCTGAAAAGAGGTCAAGAGCCACCCTAACGGTCCCGGTGGTGATGGACTCCCTGCCCTCCCAACTATCATCTCTTCATGTTTGTTCTGGCTGCTTGGTGGCCTCAGTGGAGTGTCACTGCGTCCACAACCCCCGTGCTCCAGTGGATCGCTCGCTGAAGAGGTGAGTGAAATCGGCTCGGAGTACAACTTTACGGAGGACGGTCGCATTGCTTTCGCACCACTGGTCTCGATGGTGGATGTCTCTGGCACCATTTTGGGGTCAAGAAAAGGGGGCCGTCTTTTGGTCCATTGCTGTCTGTGTAGAATCATTGGATATTAGTGGATTCCTTTTTTTGCCAAAATGAAGGCGGATCTCTTCACATCTTGGAGAGATTTAGGAGGGTCTCCTTCCCTTTAGTTTGTTCGTTGACGGTCCCCCAGCTGGATGGAGATTGGTGCGTTGCCAACTCATGGATGGGCTTGGAGAATGATTTCTCTTGCCCACGGGATTAGGTGCAGTGTTTGCTGAACCAGTGCGTTCTTCAGAAAAGGTGTCAATGATTTGATGATCGCGGCATCCGCATGTTTGCATTGTTCACAACACCCATCCAGGGCCTGTTCAAACAGTATCCAGGTGCATGAGAAATTTGCCACAAAGATCTGCAAAGATTTGCCTGGTGGGCACCTGGAACATGTTTGATCATGCACCAGCCTGTAGTGTTTATGGCTCCTGGTGGCCCAATCAAAAGGTTTCGCTTTCGCTCCAACTTTGTCTTTGAAGGTCACGCGCGGGTATTCAGAAGGGCGTCGATGAGCAAGGGGAGAGGCGTTTCCCACCACCTCCTTTTTATAGAGAAGAACATACATAGAGGTTCCTCTGATTCATAGATTGAAAGATTTTGGAGCAGATCCTGAAGGTGTATCACGTTTTGTGATGGGATTGTCTCGCAGTGTCTCGCAGTAGGGGACCCTCCCAACACATTGGCTGGAACCAGTTTGATCTTCTTTTGGGGGGGTTGAAGGACCTAAGGACCCCATTATTTGGTGACAACCCACTCTGACGAGCCGAAGACCGGAGTTGGTTGAATCTCACTTCCCCCTTTGTTGACCGAACTCTGGGTGAAGATGGTTGACAACATCATCATCATCATCACCACCATCATCATCATCATCACCATCATCACCATCACCACCACCACACCAACCACCACCACCACCACCACCACCACCACCACCAGCAGCAGCATCATCATCATCATCATCATCATCATCCTCATCCTCATCCTCATCCTCATCCTCATCATCATCCTCGTCCTCGTCCTCGTCCTCGTCCTCGTCATCATCATCATCATCCTCATCCTCATCCTCATCCTCATCCTCATCCTCCTCCTCCTCCTCGTCATCATCATCATCATAATCATCATCATCATCCTTTTTTATATATATATATATATATTTAGAGTCCGGGTGTTTGTCAGAGTGCGCTGTTTTATGATTTTTAGTAGTGTTATAACATAATAGTTCTTTAAATAGATTTCCTTTAAAATGTATGTTTGTTAAATAAACTATATTTTTAACAATTTGTGCCTTAATAATGGACAATTAAATCATTCTAATGTTTGATACTGTTTTCCTAATTTTGTTGCAATGTTTTCTACTGTATATTCACCTTGTAAAAAATGACTTGTTCTCTCTTTCTCTGTAATTGCGTTCTTCCTCATTATTTTTACCCTGTCTCCCACCTCTAGTGTTGGATACATATTTTCTTTACTTGCTTTCACTGATACATTCAATTTTGCTTTAAACTCATTCTTCTCTTTCCTTGCTTCATTTGGTGTTAGTCCTGTTGCACTATGCACATCTTTATTATAAGTCAGCATTATTTCTAATATGTAGTCAGTCCATTGTATATTCTGCTTTCCCTTCTTCTCATCATTTTCAACTCTTTTGAATGGTTTATCCTTAAATATCCTAAAAAATCTTTCAGCGAAGACAGGATGTCCTCTTGCCCTCAATGCCTTCACCATCAGCACTTGCTATACCTCTTTCATCATCAGTATACAAAAGTTTGCACTTCTTTCCCATTTTGTGTAAGCCTTCCATAGTTTCAGCAATTATGGCAGGTGGGGTTAAGCCTTCCATAGTTCCAGCAATTATGTCAGGTGGGGTTTTACTCTTTATTGGCACTACCACAGCATATTTACT